AACATTCAGCCTATAGCAGCACTCTTGATGCAGGATTGGTTCTCAGGAATTGCTTGCCCTTTGGTCATTTGATGACCAGGTGTACCTTCCCTTCCTTCGATTCCTCCCCTCCTACTTACTGCTCTCTCCTGCTCTAGCATTAAAGAGGAAGAGGGGGCAGGGAAAAGCTGGGTCCTCTGTCAGATTCCTCCTCCCACTCACGGGGGAGCTCAGGCCTTTCTATCTGGATGTGAGGTCTGGGCATGGAGTTGAGGCATCAACTTTTACAGTGGGCAGAAGGAGCAGAGGCGTGAGCCAAGGGGGTAAATTGTGAGAGCATCTTGCGGGGGAAGCCGAATACTGAAGCGTGCGTGACTACCCAATAGGCCAGCTGTGTGGATGGGCCTGGCTAAGAGGGAGACCAGGGATTCAGGCCACCAGGCCAGAGGTTAAGGAATCTTAAGAGAGGCCCTGCCAAGAGCAAGTTTTTATGATGGACCCTGGGGACCTCCTGTGCTAGGGACTCTGCAGGGGGGCCCTTACAGATACAGTAATCACTGAGCATAGCCTCAGCTGCACTCTCCAAAGGTACTGCCAATCCACCAGGGACAGGGGAGAAAGGGCAGTGTGTGTTTCTAGAGCCATGAAGGGTACCCTGGTCAGGAGCTGTCCATTTTTGTCCTCTCTCCAGCCTCACACAGACCTCTCTAGAGAACTTGGCTGGATGCCTGAAGGAGGGCTTCCCAAGGCTCAAAATCAAGCCAAGGTTTGCTTCCAGAACCTTACCAAAGTCCTCTAACAAAGCCCTCCTAAAGGGTACCCAGCCATCAGGAGTACACTCCTCTGGTTACTCTCAATGAACCACATGTATGGGGCCAGAGCTCGAAGGCAAGAGGCCAAGTGGCAAATCAAAATTCCTGCCAGGAGGCCAGTTGAGCCAGCTGATGAGCTCTTTGCCTGGAACTGGCCAGGCTTGCCAAACAAAGGGCAGAGTCAGCTCTGAAATCCATCAGCAGGAAGTAAGACTTGCCTTCCTGCTGTCTCCACTCCAGAGCATTCAGATCTATTTCCTTCCTGGTAATAATGGTAAGAAATCAGATCTAGTTAATGAATCCTTTGAAGGATGGTGTTTGCTTCTGTGTCCCAGCCAATGACTGCATCCAGGCAGACTCACATGCAGGCGCACACAGGCCTGTACACCCTGCATATGTGAAGACCATGGAACGCATTCTGCTTTCCTAGAAATCAGAAAACGTTGGCTCACTGATTTTGTTAGAACATTTTCACGTTGGCTCTTAACAAATTGCTGCGATCTGGACAGTGAGGGATGTGAGTTCTAGGCTGTCTTTGGCCAGCACCTAGCTGTCTCTACGGCCCCCACCCCGGGGCCTCAGTCTTTTCAGTGTAGAGGGGACCCTGTGATCACTCGTAGCTCTGACATCCTGTTTCTAGCATCGATCTGCGAACCAAGCAGGCCAGCGCCACCTGAGTTTGGATCTGGAGTGTTATATTTCCACTATGGAGGGAGGGCTAAAGCAAAGAAGTAGAACAAGTGCCTCTAAAAATTCATAACTTAAAATACTCGTCTGAGTTGAGAGGGTGTTTCTGACTGCCCACCTGTGGCACTAGTTGATCCTGGTCAGCTCCTCAGAAAGTGCTGGGCTCCTGCTTAACCTGGAGGTCCCCTCCGTGCTGTGTCCTTCATCTGGTCACAATTGGACATTTTGGGGAAAACCGACTAAATGACATGGCTTACGTCTTTTTATTTGAGAATCATAAACGCCTGTGTTGAAGTTTTTCCCGTGACATTTTGCTACACATTTTCCCAGCCTGCCTTCTCAGTTGTCACTACTCTGTCTTCCTGTTGCATGTAAAGAAGAAAATCCCCAGAGGCTCACGTGTAGTTTTGTGTTAATCCTGGGGGTGGGATGGGGGGGATCTGGAGCTTCATGGAGCCCTGGCCCAGGTTCTGGTTTAGGATTACCTTCAAAGACCTCTCATTTGAAAACATGGCATCATTTCTCATCTAAGGAAGCAGGAAGGCTAAGTTTGATGGAATCAGAGAGTGAAGTCAGTCAAAGGGGGAAAAAGAAAACAGAACAACCTGTAAACCTGCTTTGCTAATAAGCCAAGCTTGGCCCCCAGCCAGTGCTGATCAAGCCTGGTGGGCGCAAGGCACACAGTCATAGATGGTTCCCTCCTTTCAAAACTGCCCCCAGCTTCCTCCACTACTGCCAGGGCTCCGCATGACACCTCACACCTCTGCCTTCTTCCTCTGCCACAGTGAGGTACACACTTGCCACGACCACACTAGCCACATGCTGTTAGCCTCACGCCTCCCATCCTCTCCGTGTCCCTCTGCTTGGCTTTGTCGCATTTCATGTGTTGGCTCCGTGCCAAACCTGACACAACGCTAAGGGATTTTTTTTCTTTGCATAGTAATCTTGGAAAACTTGATGATTTGTAATTGTTTTTTTTTTGGGGGGGGCTGTGGTTTGAGGCAAGGTCACTGGGAACAGCCTCGGCAAGAGGAGGCTCATGTGAAATTGGTTATAAAATTTTTCAAATGAGCAGGAAGTGAGCAAGACTTATCCATGGGTAGGCATTGTTGGGGCTTGGCTGGGAAGAACCAGGCCACAGGGTGCTGGCTGTTCTGTGAATAAGAAATTACGCTGATCTTGAGGTAAAGGAAGGTTCGTTGGCAGAGTTTCAGCAATAACTTCATTAGGTAAACACACATCTGTCCCCAGCTAATTTATAGAAGGACAGAGAAGGAAGGCAGAAAGAGGAAGAAGTTGGAATGGAGAGCCGGAAGGGACAGGCCGATGGGAAGGGGCCTTCTGCCAGGGGACAGCCTGTGTGCAAGGGCAGGTGGCCCTTAGAGCATCTTTCTTTCTCTTGTTTGTCATGAAGTTAGTCTGTACTCATATGGACAGTACGGAAAATATTAAGAAGGAAACATATCCACACTCACATGTGCCCATAATCCTACACTAGCCCCATATCACACTATACATTTTTTTCCTTTCCAATTTTGTTCTTTCTGTATATTTTGTAACATAGTTGATTTGAGCTCATACTGTAGCTGCAATTTGATAACCTTTTTTCCCCCCAACTTACACATGATACAGTTCCCTGTGCTTATGTACACTCTGTGTGTGGTATATGGCCATGTGGTGGTCTGTCTTGTGGATGCTCTCTGGCAAGGCAGGTCCTTCACGGTGGTTAGGAGCACGCCTGTGGGTCAGACAGCATGGGGCTGGGCTCCCAGCCCCCCACCCTTGTGACTTTGAGAAATGGCTTCATCTCTTTGAGGCTCAATCACTTCATCTGCAAAATGGGCATAGTAACATCACTACTTACATGATTGTCACAAAGATTCAACAGGGCAGTGCTTACTGACTCCACCTCCTCTCAAGAGAGAGGTAATACCATTGCCATTTTACAAGTGAGGAGGCTTAGCTAGATCAGTTCACTTGCCCAGTGTCCATGGCCAAGAATCGAAGGAGCCAGCGTTTGTAATCCATCAGTCTCAGAAGCCCCACCTCACAGCCACGATGCTACACTACTTATTCAAGGTAACTTGGCCATGTCACCCAGCTGCTGAAGAGCAGAGGTGGCATGTCCCAGAATCCAGAGTTCACGTGCTGGGATGCCTCCTGAAAAAGTTCTTTATGAGTCTCGTATTCTCCAGCTTTTACTTGAAATCATTTCTTCATGTACTCTAGTACTGGAGCAGTTGCCAGCAGGTCAGGGCCGGGGACTGGTGGGTGCTTTGGCTGGTCCTTTCGGTAATGTCATAGTGGTACATTTTCCGAGTGCAAGAAAGTCTGTGAAGCTGTTTAAAAAAAAATCATCGGTGTGTGATGCCCGGAGAGGGTCAAGAGAAACATCAGCAGCAACATGGATTGTATTCTTGTCCTATTTCCATCTTTCCTTAATGATTTTTTTTCATTCCTTAATGATTTTTTTAAAGATTTTTTTTTATTTATTCATGAGAGACAGAGAGAGAGAGAGAGAGAGAGAGAGAGAGAGAGAGAGAGAGAGAGGCAGAGACACAGGCAGAGGGAGAAGCAGGCTCCATGCAGGGAGCCCGATGTGGGACTCGATCCCAGGACCCCGGGATCATGGCCTGAAGGCAGATGCTCAACCACTGAGCCACGCAAGGGTCCCTCCTTAATGATTTTGATATTGAGATGGTTCTCTCTTTGCCTCTGGTTCCCCTCTCCAAGAATCATTTCCAAGAATTGTGCCCTGGCTGGGCTCTTGACCCCTGAGTCATTTACCAAGTCCAGCCTGACCATCTTCCTCCTACAGTTAGTCCTGGGTGAGTGAGCAAGGAGAGGCCCTGGAATGGGTTCAGGGACCGATGCCACTGATTGCATTGCTGCCTCGTCACCTACAGAGTGACAGGTTGTGAGAGGAAAACAAATCGGAGCTGATATGCAAGAAAAGCTCCATTCCACTTTCTAGGGTGCAACTGGTCTGTGGGGGGGCCTCATGAATGGCCTGCCAGCCTCGGGGTCAGGAGGAGCTGAAGGTTGAAGGCACAGACTCCCAGCCATGGAAGCCCCTTGGCCTGCTTTTGCTGAAGGTTCCACAGTCCAGAGCAGATCTGATTTCAAGCTGTCCCAGTGACTCTCCTGAATCACTTGGTTATTCAGCAGATTAAATCTTAATTGCAAATGCGGTTTCAGCGTAGGAGGACCATTGTGCTTGCTGGTTTCAGGCCATTTTTGCTGAGCCGTGCTTTTCCAGAAGGCTGTTACAAATTTAGAAAGGGGGAAATGGTATTTCATTTGTCCATCAGAGTTTTGTTTTGCAGACTGAATTTATTTTAGTGTTGGTTTAAAGGTGCCAAAACTTGACATCCCTGGAGAGAGACTTGCTCAATTTTTGGAGAGCTCCTCTGGACTGTCCAAACTACATCTAGAAAACAATGTCTGTGGTCCTTATGTGACAGGCCAACGATCTTGGCTTGCCAACGATCTCATGTGTTATCATTTTGATTAATTTTTCAGAGACCCAAGAAGCCGCCTCCTCCATCCGCTCCTGTCATCAAGCAAGGGGCAGGTAATGTGCTTCCTTTCTAGACACAATGTGCATCTTTCTGTGTGTATTTACAGCACCCTTGGTAGAGCTTAAGGTTCTTAGATCCTTTTGCCATGGATTACCAAATTGGAAAGTTACCACTTGGTCTCAACAGGCAGATTTTAAATATACTTCTGTTTTTCCTAAAAAATAAACATATCATTAAAATGTATCCCTGGTACGGTGAAAAAAATCTAGCCTCCCAAATGAATAACCAAAAAAATTTTGCTTTGGAGTAAACCAGGGTGTTTTTTCTCTTTTATTTTTTCTATTTCTAATCAACTGCTTTTGAGGAAAGAACTTAATTGTCCTGCTTTTGCCCATGCCCACCTAATCTTGAGGGTCAGCTTAGGGAGGATCGCTTCCCACGGGTCATAGCCTTACCACGTATGTACAGTGGTGCTGAATTTTTAACCAAAAAAAAAATTGTGTGGTAAACCAAAATTTGTACTTATTTCACTTACCCCCTCCAACAAAAAATGTTATTCTAGCAACAAAATCTTTTCCTCATGATACTTTTTTTTTTATCTTAAAAAGAGTCCAGTTCACTTTTTTCTATGTAGTTCAGATACTAAGGTTGAATAATATAGGAAGACTTGATATGGTTGGACATTTGGTAACTCATTGTACACAGGATTCTCATACATAAAAATGATCCTTCATATTTCCCCATAGAACTCCTCTTTATAATTGTTAAGAACTAATTATGAGGAGAAATTCCTCCATGAATAACTAGTTAAGTGGCATTTTAAAAAATTAACAACTAAAACAGAAGAAGAGTAGGGGTATTTTTAGTTCTGCATATTAATAACTGTGAAATTTCTATAGCATTTGAAGTATGAATAAATTTCCACATTGGTTTATTCACAGATTTATTAAGGAGTGATTTTTTTAAAGTTTTTTTTTGGCCCACCGAGTTGTGGGGGAAATCAGTTTGATCCCAAATTCCTTTTCCTTTCCTTTTAGCATAGTTGAGAATTACGGAGATTAAGCCCTGAAATGAGGTGTTAATTACATCTCTGGCTCCGCCCCCATCCTCGTTTGCATTGAGCAGTTTAATTTTGCCACCTAGTGGTTCACACTGGATCAATATTTTGTTGTGCTGAAATTAAAGCTCACTGTTGATTTGCATTTCTCTGACTACCTTTTTCCTCGAGGCCTTGGTGATGGATTACAGACCAAGGAGATGAACTGAGTGGCCCAAGGCTCAAGTCGCCTAGAATGTAACTAGGATTGGATTCTTCCTGGTAGCAGGATTGTCAATTCCTCCTGCATCTCTAGGAATGATAACGAACTAATTCATTATCTTTAGAAGCCTAGATTGTAGCATGATAGGCAAATTCTTTTCCTTTTAAAGCAATTTTACGAAAGGTTATGCTGGAGCTCTGTGGGGCAAAGCAATGTGGCATTTAATTTTCCTAGATCCCTACTGCTCATTTATCCTACTGAATGATCCTGGGAATTGCTTTGTGACAGGGAGGTAGATATTTATATTTTCTCTACCATAAGCTTTCGTGTTTGATTATTTGATTAAAAAAAGATGTGGAATTGACAGAAATTAGAGTGTTTAATTTATAGTGAATCATTAAGGAAATTTGGGTAAAATGTGCTCAGTGGATTTTTTTTTTTTAGTTCTTTTGGTTTCTGATGCTGTGTAATTGAGATTTTAGTACCAAGCACCCATCCATAGGGATGGGCATGTAAGGAATTCGTCCAGCATTCAAGCAAGTCTATCAATCTGAGGAGTACTTGTGATTGGTTTCGTGCTTTAGCTATTTTTCAAGTGTTCTTATGCACCTGAGGCCACAGACACTGCTGAAGACCCCAGCTGAGGGAGCAGCTGCAGTCCACTCGGCCATACAGGTGTATTTGGGGAAATGTAATATGTAACATTTGAAGCATTCAGACACAGATTGACAGGACTGAGGGAGAACCACATATCTTCACTGCACATCCCTCCACTTAAAAATTGCTGCTTAACAAACTACCCCAAATATTGTGGCAGAAAACAACTATCTTCTTATGCCCACAGATTCTGGGGTCAGGAATTTGAACAGAGCATGGCCAGGACATCTTGTCTCTCTGCTCCTTGATATTTGGGGCCTCAGCTGGGAATGCTAGGCCAGCTGAGGTTGGAGGGACCACTTTGGAGATGGCTGCTTCGCTCTCATGTCTGGCTCCCCTTGGTAGGAGTGGCTGGAGGGCTGGGCTCAGTGGGGGCTATAGACCAAACTGTCTACACATGGCCTCTTAATTAGGCCTCAGGGCTAGGGACTTCTCACATGGAAGCTCAGTATTCCAGCCAATAAAGCAAACACTATACCGTCTTTTGTGACACAGCCTTGGAAATTATATGCTATCATATTGGCCACTGCTTGAAGCAGTCACAAACCTACCCACATCCCAAACAGGGGACATAGACTTCATCTCTTGATGGGAGGGGTAGCAAACAATTTGAGGCCATATTTTAAAACTGCTACAACATAGAATCCAGGTCCCTGTGAAATTTCTTTTTATTTGTAGAGCAATAGCCAGTGACCCACTATTTGCATATTTTGATGATTGACTTGTTTATACATATTTTCCACCCACACCCAGTGGTTTCCTGTGACTGTTTTGATGCCTAAGGAAGTCAGATTTAAATATCAGAAAATATTAGTGGCGTTCTTATAAATTAAGGATGTATATAGGCAGGCAAACTAAACAGCATAGGCCAGAAGTGGCTTCTGCTATTTCTAAGTGGCTTTTATTTGCCAGGTAATACCAGTGCTCAGCTTAGGGGGGAAAAGTCTATTGACTTTGCTGCATTTGATAAATATTTAAAATGCTGGTGTGTCTAATAAATGGTTAGAGAAAACATGTTCTGATCACTGTTATCCTTTCCCCCATAGGTACCACTGAGAGAAAACATGAAATTAAAAAGATACCTCCTGAAAGACCGGAAACACTTCCAAATAGAACAGAAGAAAAAGGTATGAAATCATGTCTTCACTGGCACTGATAGGAAAGCCATCCCTCATAGGGCTAGTCCACATTACCCACAGTTTGTTTTGGGGTGGGGTTAAGGGTGGGATATGGTGATTATGTTTTTATTTTGGCTGCTTTTAAATATTCCATTTCTGAGGAAATAGGAGAAAGGGTTATGTGGTGCTTCTTTGGGCCAGAATTCAAATGAAAAACAACCAGCCCAGTCACTTAACACATTGGGTTTCTTCCATCCTGGTCTTCCTGCCATTGCTGTCCTCCCTTCACCAGTGACATCTGGAAGTCCAGGTGCAAACTGGAAGTTTTCTAAGGGCCTGGATGGATCCACCTCTCCCATGCCCAGTGCTCCAGGGTGCTTATTCACTGTTGACAGGTGGATGGGACTGAGAGAAATTCCCATCCAGACAAGTGAAAAACTGTCATCCTTGGTCACTGCTGGACTTTCGACTCTGGCTACTATGTCACAGACACATGTCCTTTGTAAAGAATCCTGGGGGGCAGAGGGCATAGCAAAACTGGGAGAAGCAGCTCAGGGCCCTAATGTCATCTGAGGGGAATGATTTCACCGGTCTCACACAGTCAGCTTTACAGATGTGTTCGACTCCTACTGTTCTGAGTGTGTCTCCCAAAGAAATCTGCATGCTGTGGAAGGGCTCATTTTGTTAGGTGTCTAAGATTTGATTGATCACACATTTTATGGGAAAAGTGCTATGTTATTATTATGAACAGGAGGCAGAGCAAATCCCATTTTAAATAGCAGTTATTTGGAAGTCACAAGAGAAATGCTGAATTAATGAATGTAATTATTTGGAGGTGCTCCTGGGTGGCCTCATGAAATTTTATTGTGAAATTTAATATTTTCTATCAGCCTGCCAAAAGTTCTACCAATGTTGCCAGCTCTTAAGAAGTTACATCTCTTTCTTTCTCAGTGAACACTTAAAATTTGAGTTGTGGAACCTCATTGAGAAGGCCAGTTCTGTGTCCCAGATCAGTGAAAAAACAGCTGTGTGTGTATCACACAAACAGCCCTTTGAGGAGAGCGTGTGCTGTGACGTAGCCAAACCCTGCCCCCCGTCCACATGGAGGACACATGCCTAGTTTCTGGCTAACAGCCAGGCTCCATGATAAGGACACTTCCTGCTCTGTTCCACGCTGACTAACATAAGGACCCAGCTTACATGTGAACAACTGCCCTAGTTGGCTGGCCAAGTGGCCACACACTTCTGGTTCCTTCCACTCCTATGGTTCCTTGCTCAGTGCCGCAGTGGGTCTGGAAGGCAGAAACCCTGTCAGAAGCAACAGGGAAGCCGGACAGCCAGACAGCCAGCCCTACCCTGAGACTTGGCCTCCCTGTGAGGTGGCCACAAATCCCCCTCCCATTTGTTCTGCAGGCTGGCAGAAGGGGGGGGTCCCCAGTCCCTCCCAGCAGAAGGAATCTCCCCTCCTTTGCATTTCAGCCAAGCCCTTCCTCCTCTGGTCCCCATGGACAGTAAATGAGTTCCCAGCATTCCTGGATGGAGGATATTCCCCTACTAAAACGTGGGAATAAGCACAGTGATATCTGTATAGTAACTGGTGGGCCTTTTAACACTTTTGCCGATCAGCCTGGGCCCCTGAACAATATGAGTTTATGTTTACAAGCAAAACATGTTCAGAGTTCCAGCTTACAAGTGAACACAGGAAACCTGCCTGTCCTCCAGTGGGCAACTCTCTGAAGTTCCATCTTTATAAGGAAGAATGTGGGTACATGCTTTAAAAAGAGATTTTATTTATTTATTCATGGGAGACACAGAGAGAGAAGCAGGCTCCTCCCAGGGAGACTGATGGTGGGACTCGATCCCCGGACCAGGATCAAACTCTGAGCCAAAGGCAGACACTCAACCGCTGAGCCACCCGGGCATCCCCTGGATACATGCTTTTTATACCACACCCAGGGCAAGGCTAATTGAGGATAGAAAACACAAAGCTGTCCATCACGCTGCTGCTCAGGTGGCCCCCAGATCTGACTTTATTATTTTTTTTATTTGTCCTTTCTTTATTGAGCTATGGTCATGGAGACCATCCCAATTTTCCATAAAATCTTCTCAATACTGCTGCAACATCATGGCATAAAAGATTCAAAGTGCCACCAGACATAAGGACCAGAGTTTTTTTTTTATCGTAAACTATGAGGCTAGGTAATGTTTAAATGGGAATATTTGATATGGATGGTCAGATGAAAGATACCAAAATGTCACCAGATCTGACTTTAACCTCATTCTAATAGCTGTCTCCAAGAATCCTTGGGAACCAAATACCTGTGACACCCCAGTTTGTCTTCCAAGTTCAAACTGTGCACAAAAAGAATCCAGAATTAGCTCTTTGTTCCCAGAAATGCACCCCCCCCTTTTTACTGGCTCATGGCCCTTTACACAGGCTGACCTGAGAGGCATCAGGCCCGTTTCCTCCCCATACCCAGCAGGTCCTGTGGGTCCTTCGCCAAACTCATCACCATTTGCTGAACACCTGCTCTGTGCCAGGCACCAGGTAGGATCTAGAGAGAGGACCAGACGCGGGCCCCAGCCTTGAAGGCTGACATCCTACAGGTGCTGGCAGGCATGCACACACCCAGCAAGTAGCCAAGTGGAGCCCATTTATAAAGGGCTGCCTTTCTGGCCTCAGGTGAGGAAGTAAGAAAGTCTACCTCTGAGGGTGAGTTCGGTGGTTGAGAAGGGAATGTGACAGGGTCACGGTTCAGCCAGGCTGATGAGCAGGCCTGAAAAGGATGAGCAGGAGTTCACCGAGGGTAGGCAGTGGCCAGAGGGCCCTGCAGGGGCAGAGTCTGGCACAGGCAAAGGCCAACAGCGGGCTGCAGCTGCTGAGGGGTTTTTCCTGACTTGATAAAAAATAAACAATGCTCTAAAAATGCATAGATAAATAAAAGTTAAAAAAAAATAAACGATGCTCTTCACCTTCCAACTTCACCTTTGCAGACAGTATCAGTGACTTTTTTAAAGCAGGAAACCAGTAATCTGCCCCTAAGTACTGTCACTTACACTAGGTCTCTCTGTCTTCTTTATGCTTTTTAAACGATGACTTAAAGAAAGACCAGAGAGAGAGCCAAAACTGGACTTACAGAAGCCTTCCGTTCCTGCCATACCGCCAAAAAAGCCTCGGCCACCCAAGACCAATTCTCTCAGCCGACCGGGTGCACTGCCTCCCAGGAGGCCTGAACGACCAGTGGGTCCCCTGACCCACACCAGGTACTGCTCTGCTCTTGCCACTGGGGACGGGTGAGGGTGGGCCACACGTCACAGGAGAGGGACCTCAAGTGCAGCAGAGCTAAGGGAATGGGGGACAAAGCTGCCCTTCCACCTTCTAGCAAAGCTGTCTGAAGATTCCGGCTACTTCTGTCTTGCTCCTGTGCTTGGGCAGAAGTTGGTTTGAGGCTGGGAGGCACAGTGCAGATTTTAAAATTAGCAGCCAGAGAACAGAGGTCCCGCATGTAGGCTCTGCTCACACACAGGGATTTTCCCTGTGCTTCCTTAGGGCAGCCAGCTGCCCTTCAGACTGGAAATGTGGGTATCACACCCACCTTCATCCCCTAGATGTCCCCCTGGCCTCAGGTGTGCACGTCTCACTGGGAGCTCCATCCCCTGACCCCTGACCCTGCTCTGTGGTGCTTCTTTCCCCATCCCCAGGCTCCCTCTTCCCTAGACTGCACAGCCCTATTTGTGGAACCAAGGACCTGGCATGGCAAATGGTGTCTTATTGTACATGTCTCCCAACTATGAGACCCTCAGAGGAAAGGGCCATGCTTTGTTTAGGCAGGAATTCTAAGATAGGCCTGGCACAACTCAAATTTGTTCACTGGCTGGCTGGACACACGTGTCACTAGTGGGAAATCAAAGTTGGACATTGTGCTTCCAGACCTGAGATGCCCACCATGGAGCAAAGGAGTGTTGTGTTCTCTCTACAAGTTAATTGCCAGAACTTTCTACCCTTATGTGTGTATCATGTGTTGGTGTCATATACCCAGAGCAAGCTGGTGACCTGGAGGTCTTTACATGTGCCTGTTGACAATACTCACTCACCAAATTTTTGTTCTTTTGGGCCAAGTTTGCATGGTGAGAGCCTCATGGGGCTTCAGCACCCTGGTGGTGGAGTCAGGCAGGCTTCCAGGTTTGCGTCTCACCTTACCTCAAAACCCATGAGCCTCAGTATGTCAATGCCCCTTTGTACCTCACTTTGTCCATCTGTACATTGAGGATGAGAATGGAATGCACCCGAAAGGATAGGACAGGATAATTCCCAAGTATGCAGCCCCATGCTTGTAAATCAATGTTAGTTTCATTGTCATTCTTATTTTTTTAAGGTCTTACTTTTGAGTAATCTCTACTCCCAATGTGGGGCTTGAACCCACAACTCCCAGATCAAGAGTTGCACACTCCACTGACTGAACCAGCCAGGCACCCCTCATTATCATTCTTATTATTGCATGTCACACTGGGTCTACTTCAGTGAAACAACAATAGCTCATTTACTTCTTAGGAAACAATGTTTAAATCGTGGTAAGTACACATAACATAAAATTTACCATCATAACCATTGGTAAGTGTACAGTTTAGTGGCATCATTGTTGTGCAACTGCTACCGTCCATCTGTAGACCTCTTTTCATCTTACAAAACTAAAACTATGTACCCATTAAACGCTGACTTCCCTTCCCCAGGCCCTGCCAACCCCAAGTGTATAGTTGGCCTTTGAACATGCAGGGTTAGGGGCACTGACTCCCGTGCAGTTGGAAATCCATGTATAACTTTGACTCCCCAGAGACGTCACTACTAATAGCCTACTGTTGACCAGAAGCTTTACCAATAATGTAAAGAGTCGATTAACACATAGTTTATATGTTCTGTGTATTATAGGCTATATTCTTACAATAAAGGAAGCTAGAGAAAAGAAAACATTATTAAGAAAATCATAAGGAAGAGAAAACACATTTATAGTACTGGCTGTATTGAAAAAAATCATGTCTAAGTGGACATACACAATTCAAACCAGTGTTGTTCAAGGGTCAACTCTACTTTCTATGTCTGTGAATGTGACTATTCTAGATGCCTCATGTAAGTGGAATTATACAACATTTGTCTTTTTATGACTGGCTTATTTCACTTAGCCTGATCGCCTCAACGTTCATCCACATGATAGTGTGACTCACTTACTCTTAAAAACAACACAGTTGCCCACATATAGAGGCAGGTAGCCATGTGAGTGGTTGAGAAATGTCAGAATCTCAGCCGACTGTGGTGGACGCACATAAGCCCACATGTGGGAGGCCGGCTGCCCAGCTGAACACGCAGCTAGTTACCTCAGGGTGAGCCCATTGGAGTGGCAGCTCGTTCACCTGTGTTGTTCTACGGGCATCTCCCAAGGTCAAGACAGCTGCCTGCTATCATGGCCCATGGGGCGACTAATGGGACCAGGGCCATTGTTGAGTTTGTCAGGCTCTACACGTCATGCCCTCTTCTACCGACAGATAGAAGGCTTTGTGCACATGTGCACAACAGGCCACTTGGCAGCCTCAGTGGCCTCAGCTCAGGCCTCTTCAGCAGCTTGGTTGACCCAGAAGCTAGCAATCCAGGAGAAAAAGTTTACATAAACCTAAGTGCTTCTGAAGAGAATATGAGCTACACAGAGAGACTGGAGAGCAAAGGTTGCACATCACCTTGTGGTGGGTGAAAGGGGAACAGAAGGCCCTCTCTGCCAAGTTCTGTTAGTCTTCCAGGGTCTACAGACATTTCCCTTAAGTCAGTAACAATTTCCAGAATATTCCCACTGTTTTAATCTGATCTGAAGAGAAGTGCAACTCCAGTGGCTTCTTTGCCTTCGAAGGTTGTTCTCAACCCTCTCATCGTGGGATAGGTACAGGCTTTGTGAGCCATCAGTTAGACCTGAATGCAAGGGGGAAGTAAATTATAACAGGTGACCTTCTGGGCTCACAGAAGCCCCCTTCCTGCCTCTGCCTAGCTCTTTTCTGCCTCCAGCTCTCCCATCATCTGCTTGGCAGTTAGAAGTATGGATCTCTGGGGAAGATACTTGAGCAGGGCTGTGTATAGAAGCCAGTGGGAAAGCTAACTGTTCTTGATGTGTGCGGCTTCCCACTCGCCTTGCGGTGGCTCAGTCCCCAGGGCACTGGGTTTGCACAAAGGGAACAAGGGAAGAGAGCCCCTGGCTTCTTTCCTGAAAATCCTAGGAAGTGGCAGACCAGGCAAGGCTGGGGGTTACTTGGGAAGCCAGTACCTGCTTTGGCTGCTTGGTCAGCCAGTTGAAGGGAGGACAGTACCTTTTCCAACTGGATGGATCTCAAATTTGAGCGTGGTCAGAATCACCTGGAGACCTTGTTCAAACAGATGGCTGGGTCCACCCCCCCCCCACCTTTGCTGACTTGGTAGGTCTGGGCTGGGCCTGGGAACTTACATTTCCATCAGGCGCCTAGGTTGTAATCTCCATGCTGCTGGCTCACATCCACACTATGAGAACTCCTGGTCTAGATCCTCCCAAGTTTTTGATGGTGCCCTCCCCTTCCCTCGCTACCTCTAATGCACCTGTTAATGCTCCCCGAATTCAAAGCCCACTTAGCACACCCAGCTTCTGGAAGCCTTCCCTTATTTCTCATGATTGCTCTCTCTTCCAAATGCCTGACACCCCATGTTTAGCCTAGTGTGGGGCCCCATGCTGTGCCACTTGGGATGCTCACACCCCCGGACTCCTTTACCAGATTTAAAGCAGATCAAGAGTGTGTTTTGTCATCTCCACATGCTTTACAAGGTTGAGCATATGGTAGTGGCTCATTTAACACACTTGTTGAATGCCATGGTTCCTACAAAGGGAGGGAGGTGCCAGTGCTTACATTTTGTTCACTTTTGCCTCTCCTGTCATCCTTCCCAGGCCCTGTACAAGCTCTGTAGCACATGTGTGTCATGTTCTAAGTTACCTAATGTGCCATGGATTTCAACATTAAAAACTTTAAGAAGATCAAGGAAAGGCTTATCATTTATCAATATCTCATGCACTTCATATTTTTTGCTAAGCAGTTACGTTGGACAACCAACCCATATATTGGTTTATGAACTTGTCTTGTTCTGCCCAATTAGTTGAGGTAGGAATGTTAACATCAAACAGTTTTGTGTAAGTGGTCCTCCAGAGAAAAGGTACTGTCTGCTGTGTGAAGCCAAATCATCTCTATAATTTACTTGACCAGATGGATGGATAGACAGTTGAATACATGGACACACAGTCATTATTTTCCATTCTTATGGGGAACGAGGCATTGCCACTCTAGCTGGAGTGTCTGGGCTTTCACTTGCTCTCACCAGCCAGAAAGCTTGCTGCCAAATGTGGCTTCCAGAAGAGATTGGTTTCTTTCCATTTAGACAGGAAGTAGTATCTTTTAGAATAAAGAAATACATAAGTTTAGGAAGAAGGGAATCCTTTTTAGATACATTTGCTTAACAGAAATGTATTGAGGGGCCACTGTGTGCAAGGCACTGTCCTAGATCTCACTAATGTTGGGGCTCAGTTGCAGATCAGTTTCCAGGAATCACATCTGGGAGAAGTAGAATGACACCCAAGCACAGTTTTGTGTCCAGTCTGAGCAAATGGAAGCATGCCATTAACATATTTACCCATTGGTAAGAATATTCTTCCAATTTCCAGAAAGTAAGTTAAGATGGAATTTTAACAGGAAAAAAACTGTTTTAAAGAAAAATTTAATACCAGAGTTGATTTAAAAATTGAATGATGGGGGTTCCCTGGGTGGCTTAGCGGTTTGGCCCCTGCCTTCAGCCCAGGGTGTGATCCTGGAGTCCCAGGATCGAGTCCCACATCAGGCTCCCTGCATGGAGCCTGTTTCTCCCTCTGCCTATGTCTCTACCTCTCTCTCTCTCTCTCTCTCTCTCTCTCTCTCTCTCGCATGAATAAATAAATAAAATCTTTTTTAAAAAATTGAATGATGGGGCACCTGGATGGTTCAGTCGGTTAAGTGTCTGACTCTTGATTATGACCTTAGGGTCATAGGATTGAGCCCCCACATTGAGATCGAGCCCCACTTCAAGCTCTGCACCAGGTGTGGAGCCTGCTTAAGATCCTCTTTCTCTCTCTCCCTCTGCCCCCTTCCTGCCTTGTTCTCTTAAAAAAAAAAATTGAATGATGATAGGAGATTCCACTAGGCTCTAAGTACCTCCTTTGAAAGTATGCACCTTG